TACATTAAACCAATGAACCTTGGCTTGAGAAGAAGTAAACTATTTTTATCATGTTTTATCACGTTGATAAAGTAGGACCCTGTTTGGCAAGTGAGTTTTTTGGGTGTTTGTCTAAAATTTTACTCTAATTTACTGTAGAAGTTTTTAAAATTTTTTTTAAGTGTGTACATTTTTTAATATTTTGAAGTATATAGTTTAAAAACTTTTCAAAGTTTTTTAAACTTTGAAAACTCAAGTGCCAAAAAGTTTTTTGAAATTACTGTAGTTAAAATTTTTAAAAAACTGGTAGCAGATAAACTTGGCAAAAAACTCAAGTGCCAAACAGAGAATTTTTCAAAAATTTTAAACTATACTCATCAAAATATTCAAAAATTTTCACACTTCAAAAATTTTTTAAAAACTTCTACAGTAATGTTTTCGACAAACATTAAAAAAACTCACTTGCTAAACGGGGCCTATATTTGATCTATTTTCTGAATGATGTTACTTTCTTTAATTAAGGCTATCTCCATCGACTTATTAAGGCTATCTTCTTCGACTTACTCTTTTAGCCTTAATTATCCTAGTACTTTGACTAAAAGGGCCTTAATAAGTCTTTTTTTTTTCGACATAGGGGTGTTCGAGTCAATTCTTACGGGGCCCGACTAATCCCCTGCGGCTCGGGAGAGGAGGTCCCACTCCACACCGAACACATTAACAGCAGGACTCGAACCCTGGACAAGTCAGGAAGGTCGCCATACCCTAAAGAAGGGGAGCGGACCGCTCGAGCTACCCCGCGGGAGCAAAGGCCAGCCACGTAAAGTGGCAAGTTGTGGGAGGCAGGGGTTGAATCCCTGACCTCCAACATCCCCAAAGAAGGGGATGACCACTGGACCTCGCATAATCTAAATCTACAGAAAAGAAGAGAAGACTAAAAGAGTCACGCAGATGGAGATAGCCCAGGATCCAAAGCCTTATTTTGAGCAAAAGCTTATTTGGATCCTTAGTCCTCCATGTATATATCCGTCACCTCGCGTGTACAAGCTCTTTTCCCTTTTCCAGCAATAAAACTTTTTGACACCTCTCACATGTATTTAATTTTATTGGGAAAATGGCCAATTTAGGACATAGACTCTTTTTTTATAGTCAATTTAGTCTTTAACTTTTATTCTTGACCAATCGCTCCTTAAACTCATTTTTTTGGATCCAATTAAATCTCTTTACTGCGACATCATCATCTAAAAATAATTGGACTTCTAATTTAATAGTTAAATAGGAATATTTTGAAAGCCCCGTGTATAGATTTTAATAAAGCCAAGTAAATTAGATAAAAACCCATTAATATTTGAGGTATTTTTAAGATTTAAACTTTTGAGATATTTTTAAATTTTTTAATTAATTTCTTAATCCTTCTCCTACCCATCTCTCCCAATCATCACCACCCCCGCCTCCATTCCCCTCTACTCTTCTCTTTGTCAACCACTCTTTTCCGCCATCGCATTTCCTGTCAACCCACAGCATTCCTTTTTCTTTGAAGAGGTGATTTCTGGTAAGTAGCAGAACCGATCTGAATCAGTCCTCTCTCAAGTGAGGTGTGATGAATTCTCTTGTCCGAAGTGAATGACGGGGTTTCTCCCTTGGGATCACTCCCAAGTCAATTGAAATTGAAAAAACTTGCAGGACAAGTGAGTATATTGAGAGAACAAAAAAATAAGAGCGGGTATAAATGAACAGTATGCTTACTTGTTGGGAGTTTATATGACAGGAGTGGAGGACAGGACGGTGGGCTTATGCTAGTGGGACCTACGTCCTGGCCATCATGGCTCTGTCCCGCATCTGGAGGTTTGACTCTGACACTATAGCAGTCTAAACATGCTGACGAGGAGTCCAGTGCAATAGCCATTAAGAACATCAGGTGCTTTTCAGATAAAGCACTGGTTCTGTATTGTGTCAGGTAGGTTGACATCATCAGCGTGCAGCCGAAGTGGAATGCCTAAGGTACAGAAGTTATCCATGCCGTAGACCAGAGATCTAGCTGGACCCAGGGGTCATGTCTAAGGGACATCATCTCGGCCTGTATGACGGACGAAGTGAGATGACATCGGCCTTGACGGTGGCCGAGGTGAGCATCCTCATTCCTCAACACCTGTACCCCTACTATCCCTTCTGTAGCCAGAAGTCAAGAGCTGTGGGATTAGTGGTTTCAGATTTCATTTGTTCAAATATCATAAATCCTTGTATTTGTAACCTCTGTAAATCACTAAACTCCATGTGAAAATTTTGAAGTTCTGTAGGACAAAACAACAGGAGTGTTGTAAGAATTTGTTAGTGAGATTGACAAAACTATATATTTTTGCGTGGGCTCAAATATGTAAAATGACTAACGTGATTTTTAGCAATTGTGAAACCATTAGTATGAAAGCGTTGGAAGGACATCAACAAAAAACCGCAGTAATGATTATGACAGTACACCAATTGCAGCTGACAAACGCTCCGGCAGCGATTGGGCAAATGGCTCGGATCTTCTTTTCTCCACTGAGGACGGTCACCTCGGCCTAGCCGCTATAAAGAAAGGACATGGGATTCCTATACTTCTAGTCACTTCGGGCTGAGGTTGTATCAACTTGGGTCCCCAGTGAAATGTCGAGTCCTCAACATCTCGATTAATGAATTGTCCCTAATAATTGACACTTTGAGGGACCCCCAACGCTGACATGGCAGAAAGACATGACATTTGATAAGACTTGACCACTGCTACATCTTGTCAATACCGACAGGACACACAGGCTGTCAGATCCTGGGAAATTGGAGTCTACCATCTTTCTCTCCGGTTGAGCTTTTATAAATACCATTCCCTCCTAAATAAAGAAGAGAGAACTCTTAACTATTTTCATTATCATTATTCATTTTCCAAAAAACTAATTTAATCATAAGACGATTCCAGAGGAAAAAGCCTCGTCTTGTGTGTGTATCATGGAAAGTACAGCATAAAGTCACCTCGCTCAGGAAGATAACGTATTAGGTCAGTTCGGCTTAATAGTCCAGAAATAACCTTTTCATCCACCACAATGGTGGCAAATGTGATAAATTTGTATATTTTTGCTATTTTTTTAACTTACGCCAGAATGCATTTACAGATTTCCTCTTCAATTTTCTCAATTGCAAAGCAAACTCAAAGGTGAGGGAAGAGGGAATTGAGAGAGAGGTAGGAGCAAAATGGTGGGTAAAGAAGAAGGAACTATGTGGTCGGAAAGAAGATTATCCAAGGTTTTCAAAATGTCCTATTTAGTTGTTAAATTAGTAGTCAAATTGCATTTGAATGATGATGAAAGTCTTAGATGTGGTCCAAGGGCGTCTACCTCGGCCCCTTCGGTTTCGCGACTAGATGAGGTGACCTCTGTGAGTTTCGTGTTACCTTGGCTCATTGCTTTTCTCTCTAGGCCAGTCTCAGTCTCTCTTGAGGTGATCTCACATCAACTTGGCTTCCTATCTGATATTTGACGTACCACTGAAAATATTAATTTGTGCATGACGGAATAACGTGACAATGACATAGCCAGTGCTATGCCCCTTCCATTAGGCGTAAGTCTAACATTGTCAGCCTAAGGCCCATGAAAACCATGAAAACTGGAGTCTATCATTCTTCCCACCATATTATCTCCTATAAATATCCTTCCATCTATAGTAAAGGTACAGACACTCACTCTCACTTATGTAAGTACTAGAAATACCAAGGCCCTTGCTTTTAGTTTGTAATTAAGGTTGTGTTTGGATTGTATTTTCCGTTATTTTTCATGGAAAAATTACTGTAGCGATTTGATGTATGTGAGGGAAAAAGATGATAGGGAAATGTGATCACGGAAAATGATGTAATTTTTCGACGAAAACTGGCAATCCAAACAAAGCCTAAGTATTCGAACTGACTTGATTGTCAGAGTGATACCGAGGGATAAAACCTTGTGCTATGTCCGTACTTTTTGTGCAGATTTGATAGGTGAATCCCTTGGGTTCAGATCAGTCGTCCAGAATTTACCTCTTCAGGCTCGAATATTAAAAGCTATGAATTAAATCGGCTTTAATGAAAAGAAGGTTTATTGATCAAATTTGCCATCTGCCTAATTATTTTTCCGACGGTTCGAGTAAACTAACCCATTGAAAATCAAAATGGACACGGAAAATGTGACGCACGGGACAATCATTCTGAGAGCGACAGCATGTACTTTCCATATGCTCTATAATTACGAAGAATCTTCTAAAACACTGGAGTCGTGACTTGAATGAAGACTAGTTGAATGTTTAATCAACTAGAATATTTCTTTAACAAAATGGTTTATTTTTAATGAGTGTCAAACATTCGTTCACACATATAAACTTCATCTAATTTTTATTGTGTATATATACATATTAATAACTATTATTCTTCCTTAGATTTATATATTTTCTTTAATTTTATCTTTCCAAAAATTGAATGCCTAATTCTTAATAGATGTCAAGGGAATATTTGTTAGACAGATCTTACAAAAAAATATATATATATTTAACAGAAAAAATAATAAAAACAGTAGGCTAGAAAAAAAGTGACCCCGCCACGTGGCAAGTGAGTAGGCTGGATTCTTTTTTTCAAAAAAATTAAAAAGTAGCCGAAATTGGATGAAAGACTGGACAGAGTTTTTTTTTAAGAAGCAAAAGATAGGACAGAGTTAGACCATGCACAGAACTACGAGCATCATCACTTCAGTACGTAAATTGACACAGAAGCGTAGGGGCGACGCCTGTTCTTCCAGAAACTTCCCGAGTAAACTCGTGGCTCCAAATGGAATGGACTGTGCTGTGGCAACCCTTCCAATGGCTTTGGTGTTAACACGTGTCCCATGGTGACCCCTCCGATCCTACGTGGCACAACAGTTTACTAGCTAGTGATACGCCCACCTCCCCAGCCCCAATGGCAATGTTTTTATTTAAATTCAAAATTCTACTACTGCCAAATGAATTGCTAAAACTCAGCGAGAGTTGGATGCTTATTAATGGCGGTATTTGAAAAGAGCGGGTGGAAGCCTAGTTTCCATTGGCTTCTGGAACCAAAAATCAAATGCTAGCTACGGATGTGAGATACTAGTAAATTTTAAGATCATACTCGGACAGTAGTAGATTGCAAATTACTACTATCGGATCAGATCTCAGTCGCCAGTCGCCAGTCGCCAGCGCCGGCGTATTTTAAGTTTTCTGTATTGGATTTTTTTTTTTGGTTTTTTAAATTAAGTAGCGGCAGTTCTTTGTAAATTTGAGGATAAAGTACTAAAGCCATGAGTGGAGTTGGAGGTAGAGGTGTGGAGGAAGACAACATAGAGAGTGAAGAGGAAATCACCGAGAGCAAAAGCAAGAGGAAGTCGCCGGTGGTGTTAATGTGGGGGTATCTTCCCGGAGCTTCGCAGCAGCGCATGCCGCTGCTTTCTCCAACGCCGATACAGTTTCCTGACTCCGGAGATTCCTGGAAGGACGTTTGTGCAGGTGGCTGTGGTTTCGCCCTCGCCATCTCAGGTATCCATTGCCTCTTAGTAACATTCTGGCTGGCACTGCCACTTCCACCACCAAGTAACAACCTTAATCGACCAATTTTATGAAAGAAATTTAGGAGCAGAGAACGTATTTTTATACTAGGCTTTGTCATAGATTTGAACTTATTTTTTCATGCGAACATTTTTCTAGATTGAGCTAGGAGAAGTACTATTCGTATGCATTACGCTCATTCTTTGTTATAACTAAGAATTCCGGCAAAGAGAAGAACTAGTATATTTATTCTTCTTCACGCCGCGTGGTTTTCTGGTTCAATTACTCTGTTTCTATCTTATGATTACGTAACTGGGGAAAACAAATGCATAGATGATTAAACGTGTAGTTCGTTGAATAATTGTTAAAATTGATTAAGTTGGTGGTAGTTTGATTTTCTTTTCTTTTCTTTATTTTTTTATTTTTTTGAAGTACTACGGTCACTTACTAGTTTAAACTTTAAAGTTGAATTCAAATTTCAATTTCTTGTTTTATTGTCAATACCGAAATATTGAAGTAGAGCCGGGGAAACTTGTGCATGTTATTCAATGCTCTCTGTGCTCATTCGCTCGGCAGAATGCAGAATTTATGTAGTGTAGCTTAAACTCATGTTTTGAGCATTAAGAAGCTGCTTCCTCCTCCTATTGAAAAGGAGTTTCTGTAAACTGTGAGCTGAGTTTAGAAGTATGAATGCTGCTAAATTACATATTAGGATTTAAGGCCACTGAGAGAGGCTTTGCCTGCTGAAGTTTTCAGGAAAACCTTTCACGCTATTAATGCTTTCGCTTCTCTACTTGTGTATTTCTCTGTCTAACTTAACCATTTTTGTTATTAGGCTCGGGAAAACTCATTACTTGGGGATCAACTGATGATCAAGGCCAAAGCTATCTGACGTCAGGCAAGCATGGGGTAGTGCAGCAAACCTGAACTATTCAAATAAAATTGTGTATCTCTCATTGTTAATTTTGCATTTTCTCCGTCCAATTATTCAGGAGACTCCGGAGGAGTTTTCACTTCCAACTGAGGCTCCCGTCCTGAAGGCTGCTGCTGGTTGGGCACATTGTGTTTCAATTACAGGTACTGGTCAATAATAGTGTCCTGAAAATTCATTCCACCACCTGCTCCTCAAATTGTAGATTCTGCTGAAATTGGTAAGCAGAAACTGAGTAATGTTTGTCTTAGTTTTTTCACATGCTTAACGCTATTTTGTCTTCATCTACTAAAGAGACTGGCTTGACATGTAGCAATGACAATATTAGATACTGTGATTGCAATTTTTGACAATCCTTCCACCTACACTTTTCTTTTAAAAGAAAAATAAATGTGCATCTCGACTTAAGAGCTACTTGAATTTACCTTCAGATAATTGCGATGTGTACACCTGGGGTTGGAAGGAGTGTGTTCCATCTGGGATGATCACCCGTAATTTCTCTGCTGGGGAAAGCGATGAAGATGATGCTTTTGAGAAACAAATTTCAGTAGCGAGTGAGCAAGGTAATGCATTCAATTTTTAGGTTGTACATCAATACTTTCAACATAAAACACTCCATATCCTTATATTGTCAGAGATCAGTGAATAGAGATTAATTTATTGAGTTTGATTTTTGTAGTGAGCCCACGATCTCCAAGCTCAAAATCAACTTTTAGCTTGGTGTCGCATTTAGAAAATAAAAGACCTGGAGAGGAAAGCACAAAGCGAAGGAGAATTTCACCTGCTAAACAAGAATTTGAAAGTTCAATACCCAATGATGAACCACTCTCGGCCCCACCTTGTCGTGTAGCTTTGGATCCAGGGGTGAAGATTACAGCTGTTGCTGCTGGTGGCCGTCATACGTTGGCACTATCAGGTAAATTGAAGTGCAGCTTGTGCACTGCAACTACTATAAGCATGACTTCCCAGGAGTAGTTGCTTCTGTATAGTTATTTCATATAGTTTTGTAGGTTGTAGAAGTACGAAGCTATGGAAGATCTTTAATGTAAAGCAAGACCTGATGCATCATATTTTTACCGGATTTAGATGTGGGACAGGTATGGGGTTGGGGCTATGGTGGAGAAGGACAGCTAGGTTTGGGCTCTCGGATAAAATTGGTGGCTTCACCTCACCTTATACCTTGCATTGAGCCTTATTTAAATGGAAAAGACAGTCCTTCAATGATGCCTCAAGGAGGTATAACTTCAGCAGCTCATGTTCAAAAAGTTTTTGGAAGTTACATAAGGGACATTGCTTGTGGAGGCCGGCATAGTGCAGTAATTACAGGTGAGCAATGAACACAATTATGTCTGTAGTTATTATACAGCCTAACATTAGCTTACATTTGCTGCTTACAAGTTTTGAGGTTCGAGTACCTTAATTCTTATTCTTTTGATTTCATTTTACTAGTTCTTCAGCCATGAGATGGATAGTACTCTTTATTCATTTGACTTAATTCAAATGCTTTTCTTAGCATTCTATAAAGTTTCTCGAGTCGTAGATGATTCACTTTAGCAGAGGTTTATCGTAATGGAGATTTTCATCTAAAATTGGTTGTTCTTGTGCTGATATGATGTCTCCTCATTTTCAGATGCTGGTGTGCTGCTTACTTTTGGCTGGGGACTATATGGGCAGGTATTAGATGCTTAATTTTGCTCAGTAAGAGCTAGGGATCCATAGCATTCTCTGCATTTGGTAGTCTGTGTACTTCTATGATAGCTGATCAATTTCCACTGCTCTGGAATAATTGTCCTCACTGTAAAAATCTTCTTATGCAGTGTGGACAAGGCAATACTAATGATGTTCTGAGACCAACTGCTGTCGCATCTCTGTCAGGAACTTGTATTGAAGCATTAGCAGCTGGACTGTGGCATACAGTGTGTGTATCTGCTGACGGTCGTGTGCATGTTTTTGGTGGAAACCAATTTGGACAGTTGGGGCTGGGTACCATTACTGATCAGGCTGAGGTAAGTGACCTGTTGCAAGCTTCTCTCAGGTTCTGTTGGAGCCATGTGGTGGAACAACTGAGTTTGTTTGGATAGGAGTTTATTTGGATAATTTATTTGAGATAATTACTGTAGCACTTTTTGTGATGTGATGTATGTGAGATAAAAGATGATTGAGAAGATAAAAATGTGATTGAAATTTGTGACTTTTACTTCATCCCAATTGCTACAAACTTTTATATTGGAAATGTTGAAAGTGCACGGAATATGTAGTCAAGGATAGCTATTGCAATCTTTCCGAAAAGAAACGAGCTTGTTCATATTACAGGTCTTTGGTTACTTTTCTTTTTAATTTAGTGGTAATTCCAGTAGTCTCAATGCAGATTTCTTGTGTCACAGACTCTGCCCAGGCTTTTGGATGCTCCAATTCTCGAGCACAAAAGGGCCAAAATGGTTTCTTGCGGAGCTCGACATAGTGCCATACTGACAGGTATGGCTACATATCTGGTGATTATACCTGTTCTATTTCATTGCTTAAACAAAGTTGTATTGATTCGTGCAATAGGTGGAATATCAAAATGGACTTATTAGTTGTGAACTATATCCATAATGCTCAGCTTGAGTCACTTAGGGAATGTTCTCAATTAATTTTTTTGGCTCTTTTAGCTTCTTACTAAGAAAATTAGTTATATTATGTTGTTAATTGCTTTTTCTTTCGGCTTTTGAATTCTGATTTTGCCTTTTCAAACATAAGCTTTTTACAACCATAATCAGTTGAGGAGAAACCTAAATATATCCATGTTCACATGTAAATAGTCTGTGTAAGAAGTTAGAAACGGAGACGTGAACATTTGAGCATTGCACTGGCATTTTAACTTTTAATCATAACAATATGCACATTTACATAGTTTAAGCAATTCTTGATTCTTCTTTGACCATGTCACAGAGAACAGTAAGGTGTATAGCTGGGGCTGGAATAAGTATGGTCAGGTATTATTGATCTCAGGGCACAATTCAATCTATTTCTTGCGCGTTGAGTGCAACTCTTCTAACCTTCTTTTTTGCCTTCCTAATAACCGCAGCTAGGCTTGGGCGACGCCATCGACAGGAATTCCCCTTGTGAGGTTCCCATAGAAGGTTTCCTGCCACAAAAGTTAGCTTGCGGTTGGTGGCACACGCTATCACTAGCCAAAGCTTTGAGCTAAGAGGCTCCAGCAGGTTATGAAAGGAGACAATTTTGTTAGGGCAGTATGTTCATCGTTGGACAGTTAAAATCACCAGTGCTTTTTGCTCTCCTTTGCGTGTTTTTCTATTGCCTTCCTGAGGCAAACAGAAATATCGCTCCTTTGCGCTTTTTTCTATTGCCTTCCCAAGATTAACAGAAATATTTCTCAAAATCGTAATGTTAAAAATAGAGGCCCCTCTGAATTGCATATGTATTTTGCCATTTTCACCTTTTGGTACAAAAGTAACGATCTTGATTTACCTTTTTAAGTTTTTTTTGTGTTGAAATTAATAATGATAACAATAAAAAATAAACATACATATAAATAAAGCGAGAGAGGAACGCAGCAGTCGAGAGCCTGCAGTATTTGGGTTACATTTTATTTCCACGCCATGAAACAACATGCATGACCTTGCTTTGATAAACTTGAAAGAAAGATAGCTAGAGATGATTTTCTCACCCAGTCGAATATTTTATATCTTGCTGGAAATTTGGGTACGGTTTTGCTGCAAGAGCTGCATCAAAGGCCAGAAAATATCTAGCCGGTGGAAGCTCTCTGAGGCCTGCATTCAGATACATTCACTCCGTCATGGCTCTAGGAGAAAAACAGAGGGATATGCTTGTAAGGTGGGTAATCTGTACCTCGACAATGAAGTGAGCCCAGGCACTTTCATCGGGCCGCTTTTCCATGGCACCCTTCAAGATAGTCAATTCCAAACGATGAATAACATCAGCAATTTCTAGAAAGCGGCCGTGGTCATTGCAGAGCATCTGTTTCGGGTTTTGTAGTTAGGAAGGGCCAGAAGCAACATGCACATAAGGATATTTTCAGAGGGAAATACGTCCTTGATGAGTCTTATTGCAAAGGCAGAAAGAAAAAAAAAAGCAGAAAATCCACGCAGCGCACATACCTCTATAAGCATGTGCCCTGGGCATTCGAGATCTTTCACAATTATAGGGCAAGTTTGTTGCTCATTTTCAAATTCCAGAGCCCAACTTGCCCCATCTTGTGTGTTGCTCTCAACTTTGGGTAATTTTATATCCTTCTGATTCCATGCCTATGCAAAGACAATTTCAAGAAGATCTTAAGAGTACAAATACGCTTAATATTCTCCTAATTTCAAGAATAGAGAGCTAAGCAGACTCAAAGAGGAACATACCGGAAATCAACTGAAAAATGGCTGAACTACTTTAATTGATTTGCCAAGGTAATCAAAACAGCTGGGAAGAACCGAGTTAAATATTCAGTTATTTTCAGTTATTTTTTCATTATTATTTAGTTATTTCTGCGTAGAGGAGAAGGGTGGATGCTCAAATTGAATGTTCTAATGAGATTTAAGTCAAACATGACTACTACCTATTTGTTGTGCTATGAAACTCTAATAATAGATGCACGAGTTGCAACCCAAGTTGATGGAGAGATCTTTAGTTTCATGCAACAATACGGTCTAATTCCTAGAACTACTTCATGTTTCCATCTTCTGCCGAATGGTCATATTAACAAAATACAATATTAATGACTGTCTCAGAACAAAGATTAGCTGACAGGTCTAAGTTTAAGGTTGTAGCCAAAAACAATTGTGTCACTGTGAAAATAATTGTTTATCAGATACATGAAGTCATGATTGGAGCAATAATCATACGTATTACCTACAGAGTGAAAACTTCGGTTCTTGTGTAAGCACTCAATAGATGGCATAGAAAATCCAGCACATTTCTTTCCCCACCCCTTCCCCCCCACCAACCCCAAATTAAACACCTAAAGACAGATTGTCTCATATACATACCTGGCTAAACCCTTGACAAAAATTCTAGCAAAATGGATACCACCCAACATTAAAAGTCTCGGTAACAGAAAGCCCAAAAACAAAAGAGTACCACAAGTTTGCGATGGAATTTACCTTCTTCACAACGTGCTTCCCTATTTTATCTGCCTGATCAGTTACGCGAGCCAAGAATTGCATGTGCTTAATGGTCCTATCCAGGAGACCATCAATGCTACACTGCATTAGTAAAGGAAGTGCAAATTGTTAACTGAGAGCAAGAAAATATGAATCAAGAAGTGAAATGAAAGGCATTAAACATTACACAAAGCTTCTCACTCACTTTTGTTCCATTTGGGACAAGTTCACGCAACTCTTTGATCCGATCTTGAATCAGCTGCCTATCTCTTGGTCTAGGTTTCTGATTCTCACCAGATCGTGCTCTCTGTTTGTTTGCATCAGTAAACTTTGAGCCTTTTGTGGAGCGGATGGGAACATTCCCATTTTTCTTAGGTCGTTCTTCAAGCAATGCATTTATCATGCACCCAAATGAAGATGCTGAAGATGACACTTTCAGTGCAGAATTCTTGTCCCTACTGAAAGCTGAGGTCACACAACTCAATTTAACTTGATTGTCTTCTGTCAAGGCACCTTGTTCCACCTGTCTAGAACCTAATCTCATGAAGGATGACATAATTGATTCTCCAGAACATGATTCCCTATTAGATGAATTATCACCTGAGATGCTATTCGTCTTAGGAATAACGGCATGCATGAGATGCTCTGTCTTGTTTAGATAGCTTGTACCATATTTGCAAGCTGAAGGGGCATCGATGTTGATAATATCTTCTTTGAAAATAGAGCTTGCAGCTGCACTATCATCTGACAAATTCAGATCCCTATGGTTCAGTAGGATTTGACCAAGTGCTTTGTGCAGTTCACAGTCGGAGGGAAATTTCAAATTTTGGCTTCCACTTTCATAGCTTTCATTCTGACAATTATTCACCCTGAATGAAGATTCCACTATACCATTATTTGAGTAAGATTGCATAATCTTATCAACAGGGTTACCCAGATTGCTTGTACTGTAGCCGCTAAAGTTAGATAAGCATGCTAATTCTTCATCAAGACAAGAAGATCCAAAGAGATTCTTTACCACCTCTAATTCACTATTTTCCCATATTTCATGGTTGAACGGCTCTGCAACATCAATTAGATTGACTGAGTCCATGTTAATTTTACTTTTGGTTTCCTTGCCAATTATTTTTGTCATATCTTCACTGAAGATCTGATGTGAATCTTGGAACATGGACATGAGTTGATTTGTAGCTGTCATGTGCTGGCCTTCCATACCAAAATTGCCCAAAACCTTATGATCTTCATCAATCTCACAGATGCCCATGCAAGATTCACCTAAATTCTCCATGTAACTAGACATCAGATCTGTTGGTTGAACTGGAGAAATTCTAACCGCCCTAAAAGGTGAAAAGCATGCTGCAAGTTGTTGACCACAAAATTTGTTTTTCACATGGACCACCAGTCCTGCATCTTCTTGTACCTGATAGTGTAAAGCCAAAGCCACATGGATGGTAACAATGAGCAAGATAAGTAAAAATACTCAAGCTTAAAATACATAACATGTAAATCATTTTCTTCAGCTGCGCAAATAGTACACATATATCATGCAATATATAGAGTATTCTGCTTAGCTTCCTCTGCATCATATGATACAGAAGCAAAAAATTTTGCCCACCCGGAAAAGGAACATAAATTGGAATAGCGCCAATATTTTGCAAATGATCAAGCACATGACATACCACATCCAGTGACCCAAGTTGTAATACTCCATGTGGAATTAAAGGCACTAGCAACATAGTCTGCACAAACATCGTCATAAGAGTAGATGTTAGAAATAAATGGCACCAAACTTGATTAATACAGGAACATGGAATTAAAGTAATCAAAATGATCCTCTTCTTTAAGCATTTTCAATAAAGAATTACCTTTACACCTGCAACAAATTGATGAAGCAACTCCTCCGGATACTGTAAATGGCACAAATCAGTACACTTTTTCCCTCAATGCTTAAAAGGAAAAAAACCACGCAGCACTTACCTCTGAAACCACATTAGAGCTCAATCCACCAGCCATAAAGTTATCAACAAAAATCCAGCTTGGGCACTCTGTATATGCCGCTTCACCTACAAGCCTGATTGAATATTACATTATGAATCCATTAGTTGGAAGTAAAAATTGACTCACATCATGCATATAATAAAGCTTATATGCTAAGCAGAGCCACTCATTTCCAGCATCTAGCATGCAAGCAGGTGGCCAATTGAAAGGAATGTAAACCACACTGGAGCATCCCAATAAATGTAAAGTTATATTGTATTTCCAGCAATATCAATGACAAGTTGGACTTTATGATTGGCCATTCCTTGGCAAAACAAAGTTCTCCAGAGCTGCCTAATTTGCAGTGACGTTCTGGTTCTCTTCAATTGTAGTAGCATAATCTCATAACCACCATTGATGATTCAAATTCATTATATAACAGTTTTGGTGGAATTACATATAGAGAACTATGAAGTTAGATGTTTATGGAGGTATGCATATCCCTTGAAGATTGAATTTAACATATATTACCAACTAACAAGAACATATAAGCAGAATTGACGAAGTTAAAATAGGTAATGACACTTAAAAAGTACAAGAGTTTACCCCTTTCCGACTACATAATAAGTATTTGACATTTCAGCCATTGCAACTGCAATTGGACAGTCACTTAAACTTCCATTTTGTGTACCAGATACACAAGCTGAGGTTAACCTCTCATATGAGCTGTTCAAAGAAAAAGAACTCATCATGCCTTCCATGGGATCCATTGGTCTTGAAAAGTCAAATAGTCCTTCATCCCATACCAGAAGCCTAAAGAATTGGAGAACAATTATCAAGACCAAGCTGGTAACACTTTTGTAGACATACTACTGGAAACAACGGAAGCAAGATATGACATGAGAAGTGAGGTTCATTTGCCATATGCAAGATTTGAAAAGCTAGGGCTCTAAAATGATAAGATCAAAATAAGCTTCCTACTATCTGATTCCTACTGAGGTTCTTTATTCAGATTTCAGGTGTTATGCACAGGATCGACGACTTTAACATACATTGCATATCACATATCATAATCAATCTTCTAATACTTAAGAAATTTAATAACCATATATTGCAAAACTGCTTCAGGCGCATTGCAAGATTTAGATAAAGTTTACAAGATGCAGGACCACAAAAGCTGAAGCAAAGAGCATTTGGAGATGGATGTAAAATACAATTTAGTTCCTTTCTCATAACATGTAGTTTATCAGCTGTTAATCCAAAAAATCCTGAAGACGAGCTATTACAAAAGATAAAATTAGATAGAAAGATCTGCTACAACAAGAAG